CAAGAATTGCAAGAAACCTTAGAAATGGCAATGGGATTTCTAAAGAAAATGTCTCTTGAGAGATCAAATTTCATTCAGCTAAAATCTGCCTTTTACATAGCTTGGATGGGGCTTTTTATAGCCATTATATGATTGAAACCCCCAACCCTTCACTTCCCAAAATAAAACCCATAAGTAGTAATGACCACAATTGGTCTACTTAATAACCTCTCAGAATTGAACTTTAAAGTTGAAACCATAATTTGGAAGACCAAAAACTCAAAAATTACAAGCAAAATTTGATGACTTTAACAACAATTGAATCTTTAAAATGTTGGCACAACGTCAATCTTGCAAACGTTGACCTTCACAACATCGTCCTCTCTTGGATTATTTTGCAGCATCTGAAATAAAGGTTGAACTGAGCCTATCCAATTTTGTATGTGAATAAGGAATGCTTGTTGAAGCTTCTTAGCCTTGGCTCGTGTAATAGGTCCAGTGGAGACGTGCGGAACACCATGATTCTTATCAGGGTCTCAGCATCGACTAGTGCCTTACTGGTATAATACACAGGTACCTGGCGTCCATTTTCTTCCTTGACTAGGGTCGAACTCACTGTCGTTTCTAAGACGACGAGGTATAGAAATAACTCGTCTCACGGGGAAGGTTTTGCCAACAAGGGTACCTGACTAAGGTACTCTTTAAGTTGTAAGAATGCCTTCTCACATTGGTCGGTCCATTCAAACTGACCACTTCTCCTGAGAATCTTGAAAAATGGCAAAAATTTATCGGTGTCTCAAGATTGAATCAATGTAACGCCACGATTCTTCCGTTAAGGCTTTGAACTAGGCGTAAAGTCTTGGGTGATGCCATTTCCATAACTGCTCGAATTTTGTCTGGATTGGCTTCGATCCCATTCTGATGAACCAAATATCCTAAAAGTTTGCCGGAAGATACCCCAAAAGTGCATTTGTTGGGGTTTAGCTTCATATGGTATTTTCGTAGGATGTTGAAAGCATCTACTAGGCCATTCTCATGCTGGGTTGAGAGTCGACTTTTTACCAGCATGTCATCCATATAGACTTCCATATTTCTGCCAATTAAAGGTGCAAACATCTTATTTACTAACCTTTGATAGGTTGCTCCAACGTTTTTTAGGCCGAATGGCATGACCTAGTAACAGTAGAGTCCTCGTTCTATTACGAAAGATGTCTTCTCCTGGTCAGGCTCGTACATTCGTAACTGATTGTATCCATAATAAGCATCCATGAAACTTAACATTTCGTGACCGGCCGTGGTGTCCACCAATTGGTCTATTCGTGGTAAGGGAAAACTATCCTTTGGGCAGGCTTTGTTGAGATCCGTGA